AAGTATCGAAAATGCAGATACAAGTTAGTTAAAAAATACCCAGAAAGATTTTGAACACAAATTTTTAAACTTCTAAGTATAGAACACATTGTTCTATATCGATTTCTGTGCCAAGAATTTCTAAAACTCCACTTTTTGAGAGTATCGATATGAGTTAGCATAGATACTCGTAGGAACACACACACCATTAACCTTATATATATATACTGTTCCAAAATTGCTTATTATGCTTGAAAACATTTGGAGTGTTCTAAAAAGTTAAATATCCTTTGCTAAAATGATTAGATATGGATCGATTAGATATGGTTTCCAGGTCACACTAGAATTGCAGACGAACTTGCCAAGAAAGGGATGGCAAGACGGCACCTTCCTCATTTGGAAAAACGAGTAAATACAAATATAAAGAGGTTTTCACAATTAAAATTCTTATAGTCTGTCAATCTAAAACTATTTACAGTTTGTGTATAACTAATTAAAAATAATTTAAAAATCATTGCAGGAACTTTGACAGGGCACTGTAGATTAAACTATGTTCTTGCAAAACAGGGAACTTACCTGATACTGATATTTGCCTGATACTGATATGTAAACGAAAGAATTACCTAGGTGGAGATTTCATACACGACGAAGCAATAAAACTCTCTCGTGTAGGTTTAATACTACAATTAATAGCGACTGTTGGATTTGCAGAAAAACTCTAAAATTATGAAGGGCGCGCAACAGATCTCTAGGTCGCACTATTAATCTCTCAACATACTTTTCATATCATAACAATGAGTATAGTGGAGCTTAGTATGCCGCATTTAATGTATCACTTAGCAGAGAAAAGTCAAGTGATTGATATTAAAATTGTTCTCCATCCGTTGGTAGTAATAATAATGCTTTGGTAGAATGAATATAGCTTACAATTTCATAATTATCTTATATCTGTATGTATGCCAATATCCGTTTGATATTAGCCGTATGTTAGATACGAAATAGCAAATACGTTACAAATACGTTACTTCAAGTGGTAGTATGACTTCGTCTTTATTAGAAGATTGAAGCACCTCTCTTAGTATATCATCTTCACAAAAACGAGTATTAAAAAATTTGCATATGTTGTGTATTTTCTTAGAAAGCTGATTGTTTTCTTGAAGAACAGATTCCAAATAAATATATTTATAAACAAATGCAAAAATATATTTGTACTTATTTTTATTCCTGGCTTTCGCCCTAAAGCATTTCTAGAATAAATTTTTACATAATTTTGAAATGCATTTCCGTCCTTTGTAAAATGTTCTCAAAGCATGTAATGTTTCTAGAACTTAAGCCTTAAGCGCTTGTAGTTTTGTATTTGAGTAAAAATAAGTAGATAGAATATCTGTCTATTTTTTTAGAAACTTAACACTTAAGACTCAAACTTAAGACTTGTAGTAATTGAGGCATAAATAAGCCTCAAGAAGAGTCAATGGAAAAATAAGAAAATTAGAGACGCAAATGCAGGTCTCACTTACACTTGCTAGATTTCTCTGGAATGATACGTTAGAGAGCTTCTTTCTGTGTAAGTCTAAATTCTGCAGTGGGCGTGAAGAAGTATATTAAATATTCTTATTTTTGCTTGTACGTTCTACGTGATGTTCTGTATTATTCATATTTCTTCAATATTTGTTGCTTAACCATTTATTATTTATTATTTTTATTGCACGAAAATAGTTCAAGATTGTTTAAGAGTTTTGCCTTAAAAAGTTCAATTAACTAAAATTTTAGCATTGAACTTTTATAGCCGCAAAGTTGTGTTCTTCCAGTAATAAAAAATAATTTCATTATCAATATCAAAAGAACATTTCAGTTATGTTATCTTTATGTCAATGCTCGTAAATGATAAGCACCCCGATTAAATTTGTATTATTTAAAAAATCCAAAAAAAACAATAATTTCCAATATGACTGACAAGTATTTGGTTTCTGATACAACACTTCTACGGACTACACTACATATAAGAAGCAGCTGTGGTCGTAGCTGTGCCCACAGCTGTGCTAAAGTAATCCAATCTACACTTACCTATCTTTTTATGACTGTTATCAATATTACTGTTATATAAGGAACAATGGGACAAAGTAAACTCGTGGATGTTTAGTTTAGTTGTATTGAAGTGAGTTTAGTTATTATCTTGAGAATTTCATTCAATTAGGTCTCCTGTGAATTAGAATTTTTCAAGTAGTCAGTCACACTTTTATGACTAATTTTTTGGTTGCTACCACAATAAACGACCTTTTGAAGTTACAAATTTCATTAACTTTTTATCAAGCTACAAATACAATTCGTACCGATAATCTATGTGCGAAGTAATGTCTTCCCATAAGTCCAACTATTTTTAAGTGCTCGTATTTGTTTAAATAATTATTTTTGCTCAGCATTTCGGATATTATCTTATGTGTTTGTACTCTTGCGAAACATACAAGTCAGCGAGTATATAAATAAAATTTAATAAAGTTTTGGACTTTGGAATATATTATTTCTTATCGGCCCCTATTAAACTGGACATTGTAGTTATGACGATAACATAGTTTATGTTGTTTCATGCATGTGATATCTTTTATCAAACATTTTCATATATTTTTACCATTGATAATTTAATACTTAATGTTAGTTAAATTAAATTAATTGAGAAAACTGACCAACTATTATTATTATTAGAAGGGCAAGCTAATGGCTTTGATATCTTGCCATGAGAATAAACGACTTTGTACAGGCTTGTAAGATGAAATTCCAAACATTCTGTTTAAAATAAAGTAATTATCTCTTGTAAGATCCTAAAAATGTTCTGGAGTACTTGTAGTGAACATTAATTAAAAGTCCTTATTCATTACTTATCCTTACGTATTGTAATGTATTGTAGTGTCTAACAAATGCACAGTCACAAGTTTAGAACTACACGTTTGAGAGTACAAACCTATAAATAATAATTTGTGACTACATTAAACCTTTCTTAGTTCTAGATTGATCCAAGATTGATATCTTATTATATTCGAATGAAACTCGTTAAGATATTGGAATCGTTTCTCGTTAATTACTTCTCATGAACAGATAACATGGGCGGTAAGTTTCATTCGACATTTTGGGGTTGGAGTTGGAGTTGTGGGAGTTAGAGTCTATTAGTTTTAATAGATTCTATAATAATGAAGATGGCAATTGTCAGTAGTGTGTACTCGTACCATTAAGAAACTGGTTATTTATGTGAGTTTATATCTATTTTAACATTAAGAAACTTATTAACATTTTTTTTGTACCCTCCAATGAATTGATCAATGGAAATGATCAAAGCCTTCAGAGAGAGAGTTTATATTTGATGTAGCGCTATAGTAGTGCCATCAATTTTTTGGCTCTTCTTAAAAAATATTTTTCAAAAAGTTCATTATTAATTATTAATAATTATTGATTATTAATTATTAATAAGGCAAGGGCTTAAATTGTAAGCAAAAAAATAAAAAATGAAGAAGAAACGGTTTTTATTCAAATGTCTTCTAAAATGTTTATATGGACCAACATAATTAACGAGAACGTACATATATAATAATAATATAATATAATATATAATTATAATATTAAAATATTATATATATAATAATATAATGTACATATATATTTTTGCAATTTTTCTTACTTCTTTTTTTAGATACTTTTGTGGTGGGGCCTGAGAAGATTGAGTAAAATATCCATTGATCCTTGACAAATAGTTATCTAGATGAGTACTAGCATGTTTGTACTAAGCAGTTTAACATAGATTAAGTATACTTGCCACTTCTTGGTGGCAACCGAATTGGCTGTTTGCAGTTCAAAGTTGAAGAGATTATGTAGCTTCCTGGCTATTTAGATATATAATAGTACTGACGTTTTTTAATCGCTTTTCTTGTTGAAAAACGAATATGGTAACCTATTGATTAATTAATACATAATTCATTATTCTCCTCGAGTGCACATGATTTGTTAACTGCAATTTTTGTTTTGGTTTAGTGTAATATAAAAAATTTCATTAAATAAAAAAAAAATAAAAAAAAAATGACAAAAAAACTATATACATATATTATATACTCTTCCAAAATCGTCACAAAGCAAAAACTAAATTAATTTTTAACTGTTTTTCGTATATTGTCCGGAATTGTGTTCACATGTCAGCTTATTTTGAATATGAAATTTCTTCAGAATAAAATTCAATAAATTTTGTTTGTGATATTCTCACTCAATGATTCGTTCAAAGTTTCTGTTTCTGTTTTTGTTTTTGTTTTTAAATAAAAAATTTAATAAATCCAAAGAAAGTCGGAAGCTCTTGGTTATGTAGAGAACGCCAAATCTGTCATGTTCGCATCATTTCTCCCAAAACATAACGTTCACCATTGATCTTGTCTTGTCAAACCAGAGCTCTGACTAAACGCAGATTTGCATATTAACTTGGAAAGATACATTGTATTTTACATAATAAATAAATTTTTTTTTATTAATTTGGACTAAGTTTACTCCACAAAGAACAATCTTAATTAATGCAAAAAAAGAAGCAAAGCATTTTATTTATGTTAATTACTCTTGAGATGTCCGTTTATGTTTGGAGTGACACCTTTTCCCAAATATTTTGTGTGCTTCGCCCTTTTTGCAGTAATAAAATATAGAAGACGTTCCAATATAGAAAGAACCTGACCGAAGATTGGCCAAAATGTACGACGAAGAAAGTAAAAGACCGGCTAAATTATTGAATGATTTGTGAAATGAGATGACATGGGCAGATCACATCTTTCATAATAGAATTTGGATTTGTATATGAGCCACAAAATTTTCTTCTATAAAACGCTAGATTAATTCTAACGGTTCTATTTGCAAAAATTTAAATACCAAAAACAAATTTTTTTCTATTTTAAGTCGGATTCGAAGTAGATTTTGGTATAAAAAGAAATTTCAGTGTTAGATCGATTTAGTAACACTAAAAGACTAAGTTGACCCACAAACGTTATGAGTTCTATGTAAAAATCATAGTAAAAATGACTTTTGTAAAATTGTTTATAGTTTTGCTGTTAATTGCAGTCATCAGTCTTGGTGAAGGTGGTAAGTTTTTTTGGTAATGACTCCCAAGTGCATATAAAATTCAAAGTTTCGGAATATTACTTTCAATATTGCAGCTAAATTGGATAAAAAAGGACAAGAAGCATTTCGACGTCAGCATAGAAAAAATTTAGTCCACGACAATAATTTGGAAGCAGATGCAGATGTACCTCCAAAGCTAGTACAATCTTGGCAAAGATTCCATGCTCAGAATTATAAAGACGACGCTGACAGCTTTGACATTGATAGTGTCGGTAGTGGCAATACTGGTGATTATTATGAGGCTGAAGATGATATTCCACAAGGTTTATTAAAGAAATGGGCTAGATTCCATGCACATAATAAAGCTGACGGTGATGATGAATTCGAAACGCCAAAGTCCACAGCATCTGATATATCACCGGAATTATTGCAGTCTTGGGTAAGGTTCAACGCAGAGCATGATAGCAATGAAGGTGAACCAATCTCTGTTACTTTCGAGCCTGTTGGGGTTACTCCGCTAGACTCAGATGCAGAAGTTGTAGCTAATACTGCAGTAACACACATCCCAGCGAAATGCTTTGTCGACACCAAGGGACAATTGAAAAGAAAATGCGATGCAGCAATTGCACGGTACAATAAATTACGAAAGAATCGGAAAATTCAACGAAATCAAAGAGTTGAAGTAGACGATGATGATGGTGATGACGCCGACTATGGTAGACATGATGATGATGATAATGATGATGAAGATGATACCGCTCATTTAGATGTCGCAGATGTAGCACATTTATCGGCCTCACATTCAAATGTAGTAAAACCCAGCCGTTTGCAACGCACGTCGCCAGTCAACGGAAAGGCACTTAGAGGAAGCAGAGTGCAACGTAGACGTAATCAAATGTTACGTAGGCGACGTCAACAGGCTCAGAAACGTCGTCAGCAAACAGTTAATCAAAATCGCAATAGGCGGCGTAGAATACAACAACAAAAACGGAAGCAACAAATACGTAGACGTAGGCAAAACCAAAAACGTAGACGACAACAGCAAAAACGCAGAAGAATGCAGAAACGTAGGCAACAAATCCGACGTAAACAATGGCAAATACGACGTCGTAACGGAGTGAACAGTAGTGCTTTTGCTGCAGCCCTCAACTAACGATAAACAAAAACAAAATTGTATTAAAAAATAAATTTGACCAAAAATAAGAGAAGTTTGTTTTTCTAATTTAAAGCTGCGCTCCCCATCTAAAGGGGAGATGGGGGAAATCTCCCCTTCAATGTGTTTATCTTAAGCCAAACATGAGTTCGTTCTCGATTCGTTCTACTGACACAATTTTGAACCTCATCTCAACTCATCTCAACTCATCTCAACTCATCTGGCACAAAAGGCTTTTTATAGCTTTCTTGTCATTAAAAACTGGATTTTTCTTTGCCTGCATCCAAGAGACTGAATTTATCTGCGATTTACACTGAATACAATCTGTTAGCGTTTTATGGATCTCGTTTTGCCGCAAATAGTCTTTTTGGGTGGGGTCATTAAACGTATTAAAATCTATTGAACTGAATCTCTTTTTTAGAATTGGTAACAATTTATTCACAGAAACCTAAGCAGGTAGAAACACATTTGCTGTCATTTCAGAAATGTTTGATTTAATGGACATAAAGATGTGGAGACCGCCACATAAGGTGTGGCGGCGGCGTTTAAGCGAAACCCATAAATAAAATTAAAAAAATAGTTAGTAGTAATAATTACTTATTTAATTTATTCAAACTATTTAAATAAACAAAATTATAAACTACTTTTATTAAAATTAGTGAAATTTTTTCCTTTTTTGTAATGGAAAATTTCTAAATCCCTTCACGTCCGTATCAAAATAAAAGGATTTGATAACATTTATTGTCACACACTTTTTATAATATATGTAAATATAAACACTACCCATTGACACTAATTTCAAAATGATTTATACTCTGGTCTGAGATTAGAACAGTTTATTGGTCGTCCACAATAGACAAATTTTTAGTCTTAGCAACCATGCGTTGCCAACCATGCTTTTTAGTAAGGCGATTTCAAAAAGCTTGGACTAAATAAACCAGCAGTGTTGTTGTTTCTCATGTTATTTTTAAAATAAGCGGTTGTTCTTTTGTGATATGCTCACAAAAGAAAAGACCTAATGTTGCCTTTAGGCCTTTAGGCAACATTGAACATTAAAGGGTTAATATTAGCTCAGCAGTTGTAGTTATTCATAATTACTTCGTCAGTCAACGGAAATGCTGCTTAATAGTTTCTCGTCTGAGACTTGCTGGGATTTGTAGAATAACTACAGATCCCAGCAATTCTTATTCTGTAATTCTAATTCCTTTTTTTTTTAACTAAATAATAATGATGTTATATACATAAGTAGTTGTTTAATTAGCTCTACTTAATTAAAAATGAATGTCCCATTCAATCAATCAATCATGTTAAGAAATAAGGTTATCAAAGAAAATAACTGTCATAACTTTTGAAATCATTGACGTTTAAACCCGATGCAAGCGTTAAGCTATTTGAATGAATTGCTTTTCGGGAGCTTTTCTTCGAGTGGATTCTTCTTTGGAACCTAGTATTTTGGGAAATTTTGAATACTGAACCTATCTTGTGTATGATTTTTTAGTTTCTTTTGTCTATTCTTTTGGTTATTCTTTGTCGTAAGAGCCGGAAAGATTTGTATGTGAGCATGTATATATAGTACTCGTAATATAATTCGTAAAACACCTGATGGATTGCAGCAGTTTGTTTTGAAAAATGCTTTAAATCAGTATTTTTAGTACATAAAATCCAAAACCCATATAAGATGTAAATTTACGATGTCTTGCTTTACATTGGAAATTTCTGCAAATATGATTTCATTTCATATCCGTCTTTTGTGTCCGGTCACTTAGATTGTGTCTTTTAAATACCAACATTCACCTCGTAAGGTTCTTAACTGAAATTCCAAAACCATCACATATCTGTTAAATGATTATTGTAGGACAGCAAAACCATTAGCTTAAAGGAAATGCTTATTAAATTCAATTGCCAAAACAATAGCTACGTCACTGTATTCTATAAGGTCTAAATCATAGTATTAAGTGTACTTTAAATAATTTTTAATTAATTAACTTTTACATTTTATTAGAGTTTTTAAAAAAAAAGCATTAATTTTATATTTTTAAAATATTTGACTTTTTTTTTGTTATTTGCATATATAATAGGAATAGCTTTTCCTATTCCTTCAGAAATATTTATTTATATATGCAATCTAAAATAACATACGAATTTCAGGTTTTTACTAATATTTTTTGTTTGGTGTTTTGAGAGCTTCCAGTGTGCATTTCTATTTACATTCCTCTTCCTCTTTAATTACATTAGTATCACGCACGATACATTCTTCAGGATATTCTCGAAGGACTAGAAGTGATGCAGAGCTCGCCCTTTATGCGTTGTAATGTTCAATAATATATAAACGTTATGACGTAGGCAAATGCAGGCTTTTAAATAATTTATTAGCTCAGTTGTTGAAATATAAATTTAATTACGACTAGCAGTAAAAAAGAAATTTAATAGCAATTAAGTACGATACTTTCATTGCATTGCTTTTGAAGGCGGTGGGGCAATGAAGCGACAGGTTTTGAAAAGAGTCGCTTTTTACATACGACATACGCGTATGTACGCGACAGACCCGTACTTGTAAATTTTAAATGCACAATTAAAACTGTTTTATTTGTTTTTGTTTAAGCGTAATTTTGTGAACCAACCGCTATGGATTAGTTGTACTTTAAACTTGGCTGTTGGTTCAGTCTATTTTTACGGCTGCTCACTTGCTAAGTCGACACTTGACAAGTTAATCAAGTTCGCTTAAATGACAGACAGAAAACAATGGCCTTTGCAAAAAAATTCCAACACTGCTTCGTCTTTGAATGCGCATAAGTATCTGCATTCTTCATTTTTCTTAATACAATTATTTTTGGTTTAACGTATCTTCTCATGAAACACAACAATTTGCAGTAATTATAATGACAAGCCTTGACTTTACATGGCTTATAACGTAAAAAATTAATTACGTACTCTTTCTAAGAGATATAGAAATACATAGCAAGATTTATAGTACATACTCTTGCTGAGAATAAAGTTCATTTTTCCAAAATACTGTTACGCATTTGTAAAAGTAAATTAATCCCAATCCCAAGGCTCTCAAAGATTTCCCAAACAACTTTTATGACTTTATTTTATTCTCTTCCAGAATAATAATAATATCCTGAGGTCAAACTTATCTCAAAAAAGAACTCTGTAGTAAAAACATACAACCACTTTCTAAGCACCTACATTAACTATATTAAAACTCCATGCGACATTTTTATCTACCAATTTGTTCGACTTTTATACATTGATCATTGAAAATTGTTGATTTTATTGCTTTAAAAAATCACATTTGTGCTGTATTTTCGACAACTTTATGCGGGTAGCATTATTTTTATATTTTATATTTTTGTAGTTGTTGCATTGAGAAACTCCTCATTTTCACAATTATTTATTAGAATTGCCCAATTGTGCATATTTTCACGTCCATTGACAATGTATAGTACCATCTATGCCTATTTACATATATCAACAATAATAATCTGTGCGATACCTTTTCATAACAATCTAATAATAATGTGCATCTTCTTCTAATATTCTATCTACAGTCTTAAATCATATAGGGTCATATGTCACTATAGTGACCCTATATTATAATTACTCTATAAATACCTAACCAAGTCTTTCACGGTTTTAATAACCTGAACTTTATAGTCACTTATTTCTATTTTATGGATGACGTTTTAAATCTATTTACTTATATTATTTATTACATTATTTATTACATATAAAATTCCAAAAGTATAGTATATGTAATTTCCATAAAGGGAATGATTTTTTCTAAGTTCTGAAGGACAATACCATGAGCAGCTTTAATGGCATGCTCTAAGCTTTGATGAGTTATCAGTATCAGTGATGTGTCGTATGAGATATATTCACGAGCTAGAACGGGTAGCTGAAGGTGATTCAATCAATAAATTTAAGATAAGAATAAGATAAGAATGCCGGATATGAGAGTACCGCTTAAGACTTATTAAAACGAAATAGAAACCAGCAGAAGGAGAGGGCGACCAAGAAAACGATTGAAAAACAGTGTACAGCAGAATTAAGAAGAAATGAACATAAGAAATTGGAAAACTTAAGCCAAAAACAGACAAGAATGGAAGACTGTTGTTAAACAGGCTTAGGTCCTATATGGACTGTGTAGTCACGTATGACGATGATAATATATTGATGGTGTTATTTATGTAAGTAAAGTTCAGACCAACTAAAATGGAAATTAATATAATCGTGTTGCGATATTACTATTTTAACTATCGTTTTCACTCATTTTTAGAGTGAGGGGACTTTTAGAGGGCTTCTTTTAATCGGTTAAAGCACTTGGATATTTTTCAACAACAAACATTACATATACCTCCAAACGGGAGACTGATGTTTTGTAGCTGCAATATACATGAAGAGTTGATTTTGTGTAAAATAACGTAATTCGCAAAGATTTGTTTAATTATTTAAATGTTTCCAACTCCTAATAAGATAGTTTTAACTTGAATTTGTTTTTATAACAAACAAGTGCATATGTGTGAGGTCAACTAAGTCAACCTAACCTTGCTTACAGTTGTGCAATCTTCGTAGGCCTTTTCGACTGCAATCTTGCAGGGGGTTCCAAAGCAAAAAAAACTTATATTCTGTTATATTATATATTATTATGTGGAACATATTAATATATTCAACAACCTTTTTATCATGGCAACTCCTTCCTTTCCTTTTATATCTATTCTATTTACATCTATCTATTTACATCTATATTCTATATGGCACTTTTATAGTCTTTGAGATTAGTCCATTAGTCATTCGTCGTCAGCCGCTTTTGAGCTTATCTGCCAGTTTTAAGTGTCAGGGAGTCGATATAACAGTTTTTACGTTCGCCCTGATATCATCGCGTATCCCTATCTATTATTCACTCATCCACGATGGTAACTGCAGAATTACCTGTGATAAATCCAAAATCCTGGTTTTACTTGATAGAATAAAGAGGAAAAGATTTAGTTATAAAATAAGTATTAAGGATAAGTGTCGGGTTAT